GGATCAAGGTTAACTCAACACTGATGATGATTGTCATACTTATGGCAAACAGCAGTTCTTGATACAAGAAAAAACAAAACGGGAATGTATGCCAGCAATGTTATGAGTGATAGGTGTGTCCATTGCAAGCCTGCTGTGACAGGTCATCATGTACATTTCACCATCAGCCTGATTACCCTCTGCAGTGATGTGGTATTTTGTTAAAGGTCACCAGGGATGTAGCAGCATAGCGTCAGCCGCTATGTCAGCGTAACCTTGGCTATGGTTATGCTCTGTTGATCTTCATGAAGGAACTTTGTCAAAATGGAAGCGGTTGAGTCATGCTACCATGGTTACTACAGTTGTCATGTCCGTAAAATTTGGAATCTTAATATTTTGGTTACTGTCATTTTCTGGGCTTAATGAAAGTATGTCTAAAAATATTTGAATATTTTCTGACTAGTTTCAAAGAGTAATTATTCCAGCTATTGAATCATAGTTGTGAGGCAACCATTACCATTTGACAATCTCCTTGGGGCTTCCATGAAAAATAGTTTCCATGGCTTGTCCATCTTCAAACATAAAATTTGTTGAAAATGTTTTGGCAAATAATTTTTTTGAGTATCAATTCCATGCGAACTACATCTGACAGAATCCCTGCTGTCATGTTGGTCCATGTTGCGTAGGTGGTGGTAACACAATATGTTAAGTAACAGAACAACATCGGTACTGGTGTTATTCTGATTATTTGGGCTTGTCACCAGACGGGGATTGTTGGAATGCTGAAAAGTAAAAAAAATCCATCCCAACACTCAGATTACAACGACAAGCAATGTTTCAAAACAGCTAGGGTGGTGAAGTTTCCGACTAGCAGGTGTCTTTCTGTAATCTGGAATCTTGAATCTACAAATGATCTTTTAAATCTTTGGCCCACAATTAGGCTACATGACATTAGCACTGGGAGACTGGTTTTTAGAAATGTAATTGTTAGTTGTAGTTTCTTGATGGTGGATATGTTGCACTTGTCTAAAATCACTGCTTGAAAAGCATATTCACTCTTAAAATAATTCAGGCCAATATAATAAAAATATATAGTGGACTTCATTGACTGTTTAACATCTTCCAAAGAATCAGTATCATATATTCAACCATTTCTCCTGATAGGCCAGCCATTAAATAAAATGAGGATTGCCTATTAAACAAAATATCCTTAAGATAAGATAAGATATTTATTGTGCAGATATTTTCAGACTGACTGACTGAGTTTGGTTTTACGCCGTTTTTAGCAATATTCCAGCAACATCACGGCGGGGGACACCAGAAATGGGCTTCACACAATGTACCCATGTGGGGATTCGAACCCGGGTCTTCGACGTGACAAGATATTTTCAGAAGCATAGACAGTATTCTATGAGTGAGTGAGTTTAGTTTTATGCCGCTTTTAGCAATATTCCAGCAATATTACGGCGGAGGACACCAGAAATGGGCTTCACACATTGTGCCCATGTGGGGAATCGAACCCCGGGTCTTCGGCGTGATGAGTGAACGCTTTAACCACTAGGCTACCCCACCGGCCCGATATTCTATGAACTACATAAACAAGATATATTTTGTTAACACAAATGTGTATAATAATGGCCTAAAACAATCTAGAGATCTTCTATATTTGTTGTACATATGGTAGCATATTATTTCTATACTATTTTGTTCATTATTTCTAAACAAGAGGTTAAATTTTTCTGTGGTAGTAAGACTTTGGAAGTTACTAATTTGAGGGGAAAGAGAGTTAAATAAGAACTGTCTTACATCTAAATATTTACTACAGGACATGAAATAGAGTGCTTCATCCTCAAGCACTGAGCATTGATCACAGAGATGGTCCTTCAAAGGTGTAGGTGGTCTTGTTCTACCCATTTTTTTATATTATAGTATATGTAGTCTAAGTCTTGAGAATTGGTAAGTGGTTGTCTTCAGACAGGACACTGACCCAGATGGGCCATGCAAGAATTACAGAAATGTCAGCAATTTGTCCCCAAATTTGAGCAGTTATCAGCAACAGAGTCTGGTTTGAGATGTGAGGGAGATGTGGATTATGGTCCAAGCCAGGAAACTATAAACATGTCTTAACTGGTTTGCTCTTTATGACTTCATTTTTAGATCAAATTTCAGTTTCCCTGAATAAAGTTTAAGGATGTATAAACCTGTTATTCATTATTTGTGGGAAGCAAAATCTATTAAAATGTCACTAAAGGCCCGCATGTCATCATGATGCAATTAAATTCAAATTTTTTCCCATAAAATTAAAATGTGGAAGAGGGTTTTTTTGGTAAAGGAATTGGCATTTTGAAATATTTAGTTTGTTCCAAGATTGCAACTAATAACAAAGATAATTATTATTCATTAAGGTGTCTGTAAATTGGCCTTAAAGTTTAGGATTCACCAAAGTTCATGATCTCAAAGAATGAATTTGTTGTGTTTTCAAACTGTGTGAACCTTACATGAACAACATACCTATTTTGCTGCATTCTTTCTAAATGGCTGATCCTCCACATTGGTAAGATGAAGTGTACGTTGACAAACACGAATGACAGGTTGAGTTCAAGCTTCTTTAGTTACAAGACAAACAAATACACAAGACATGAATGAGGTGAGCAAAGTTCCTGCTCAACCCCAGGCCGTTTCTTACGAGCGGCATGATCCTGCTCGAAGACGTTCTTATACAGTAGGAATACCGGACTCCTGACAATATAGATGTGAGCATATATACAGTTATAGACAACAATAGCACTGCCTTGAACCAGTACCGCCTCCGTGGTGTAGTGGTTAGAGCGTCCGCCCGGAGAGCAGAAGGTCGCGGGTTCGATCCCCGACCGCGTCATACCAGAAGACGTTAAAATATGGTACTTGTTGGTCCCTGCCTGGCGCTCGGTATTAATGGATACAACAAGGACTGGTCGGCTCAGAGTCAGTATAATGTGTCTGAGTGGGGTATTCATGCTTCACTGCGGCATGGTATCTCAGTGGGCTAGCACTATAAAACCAGCTTAAGTCTAGACTAGTGCAAGCAGTCGCACATACACATACACACGCATGCACATTGTCATATGAGCAAAATATTCTCAAGCACGACGTTAAACCCAATTTCACCTCACCTCCTTGAACCAGTTGGAGTAATGGTGGACAAGGCCAAGGGGGGTGACCAGTTAAGCCACTAAATGTCTTATACAGTATTTAATTAAAGTGAATGAGTGGTACAGGGTGGCTGACAAGACAACGTACACTGCGGTAATGATAAGGATTAAGAATGCAGATTAATGTCATTTAAATAATTACAATATAGGTAAAAGTCTCACATGGCTTGGCTACATAGTTTGTGGTTTTTAGAAATATTTGGATGATGGCTGTCCTCTGCTGTGCTATGACACTACTATTTGCTGACAACTAGTTATGTCTCCATACTACCCTCCTGCAACTACTGTTCATTGTTTCTCCATATAGAACAAGTCTGAAACAGCAATTGACATGTCTTATCTGAGCTTCTGAATTTATCTGATAAGTCAGTGGGTTTGTTTTTTCCTTGAAATGGAAGCTTATCTATTTATTGGGAAAGATTCTGTTTCTGGTCTATGTCAACAGAAGAGCGTCAGATCCCGCCTTCACAACAAGCACTGTCAAAACAACATGGGAAGATAGTCCCTGGTTCTCTTCCATACTCTTACAAGACACAGTGACAGTGTTTGTTTGTCCTGGTGTTTGGGAGCACATGTAATTCATGATAAGAAAATTTGAAGTTTCAATTTTGGTAGGAAAGTATCATTAGGAAGTGGTTATATTTTTCAGTTCAAAATATGTTAGTCAATGATTGATCAGGTTCCATCTGATTCTGAACTTAGGTCATGACCTTTGGGATTCTAAATTAGAACTTGTCCCCATCTTAATTAATTAAGGGGGTTTGGTTGCATCTTTAAACTTTTCCTCTTGCTTTCTATATTTTTAGGAAAACATAATTTATAGCTGAACATGTGTAGTGGTCTTCTGATTCAGTTCAATATACTGAGATCTGGCTCATATAGCTGTGATTTTGAACATTGGTCTTTTAGTACTTTCGACCAGTTATTTTGAAGGCTGATTAGTAGGGTTGGTTATTGATAAAATTTTCGTATTGTGATATGTGTCGGCATATTGCAATATATTCTGAAAGTGTAACACATGGTTTAAGGTAATGAAATAATTGTTTCCTTTCTTTTGAAACAATGCCACTGGCCACTGTCAGGACTCAGATGTGATTAATTGAAAATGTTTCCAAATTAAAGATTCAAGCATCTGCAGCGGCATCCGCCATTTTGGTTTGTTTATCAATACAAAGAGTGCCGATACCAATCTTTTTGTTTTATTTATATGGTTTAAAAGTCATGCAAATGCAATTATATGACCAATAAACATTCTCAAAACTATTAATGTATAATAATATAAATGAAATACAAAGGTTATTAGTATTTTTACTACATCACGAAAATTACCGATCGTATCAGGTGAACCAGTTCGCGACAAGCGTACCGCAATATATCGTATTGTGAAGTTTGAATTGCAATATTCCAATTAACCGGTATTATCGCCCATCCTTACTGATTAGTCTAACTTTCCAACATTTGTAGGTAGCTGATTTTATCTATTTTATCACCAGAAAATATGTGTTTGTTGATATGAATCAATTATCCCTGACAACTTAATGAATGTCAATCCTTGACAGTGTCAACTGATGAATATCTTGGTTCAGGCTCCCATCAAGAAGAAATTTTGATGAAAATATGAATGAATTACAACTATACAACCTACAATATTGCATCATCATCATCATCATCATCATCATCATCTCTTTACAATTATCATAATCCCCATCCACTTCCTTCTTCTCCCTCATCAGCCCCCTGACCTAATGTTCACATATTCCATAGAAAGCTGAAGCCAATATAACATCAAGTGGCACATTTCACTGATTTGAACTCTTATATGTGTTCCAGGGAAAGTTGTCTGGCTGTGAAGGACCTGTTCTGCTACCAGCAATGGACAACCATCGATGAGAACAAGAAGAAAGACATCTTCTTCAAAGAGCGAGCATACTTCCGCCTCCCGGACTGTAACCTGCTGCCAAGCAAGTTTGAGGGCAGCTGCACCAAGGCTGATCTGTTTGTGAGAGAACCTCAAGACGTCACAAGTAAGTTTCCCAGTCCAAGCTGATTCTCAATGTAATGCAACATTAGACGGTAGTTCTTTGACATGCCCACTGCCTCTTGGCTTAGTGGGTAGCTTCTGGCTGGATAGCTTAATGTTGGTGGTTTAATTCTGTGCTGCTTCATACCGAAAGATGTAAAAGGATGAGTGAGCGAGTTTGGTTTTGCTCTGCTTTTAGCAAAATTCCAGCAATATCATGACAGATGACACCAGAAATGAGCTTCACACATTGTACCCATGTGTGGAATCAAACCCGGGTTTTCGGCATGACGAGTGAATGCTTTAACCACTAGGCTACCCCGATCCTGTTAAAGGATGGTACTTGTTGTTACCCTGCATGGCTTTCTGTATTTAGAGGATGGGAGAGGATTGCCAGGAGTGTGTATACTTTGTGTGAGTCAGGTATCCATCGTAAGCTGCAGCATGGTATCTTTGTACAATCACACACACACACAGTAATCTTAACTCTCAACATATACTGAACCTCGTCCTGGACCGATATTCTGGAACACCACGGGGCCAACTCTCTGATTTAGACCGATTGCACCCCACACCATGATGCTTGGACCACCCCACAAGTCTGTTTCAACAATTACACTCATTGGAAAACTGTACCCCACGCCCTTGCCATATTCTCACTCTGCCATCGGCTGTCGAAACGCAATTTCGGCTTTCACCAGAAAAGGCACAGTTTTCCATTGTTGATAATGCCAACTTCGATGCTGTGTTGCCCACTGGTTTGGGCGGTGAGGACAGGACCACGATATGGTCTGTGACAGGAGAGGTTTCTTCCCCACAAACTTCGACACACTGTATTGGCACTAAAAGGTCTGTTGTGAGTCCCAGTGGTCTGGCGTTTTCGTCCCTCTGGTGAAGCGATCCTGTAGATGGTTCGCACAATCTGTTGGTCTTGACGTTATGATGTTACTGAAGGTCGTCCAGTGCGTGGATGATCTTGGATGTTGTTAGGGGCCTGATACTGCTCCTGCAGTTGGTAGATTGTTCTAACATGAACATTAAAATGATTGGCTACCCTCCGTGCAGTCTGGCACAATTGCAATCGTCCAAGGCTTGGTTCCTCTGATCTCTCGTAAGTTGTGGCATGGCGACTGGGTCAAAACAAAAATGATCTCAGGCAAGTTTGGGACTCTCTTCCATTGGTAGGTTTTACCACGCCTGCATTTTTAGGTGCGTTTGGTCGATATGCTTTTCATCATAATAAAAACACCACCTTGAAAGAACAAAATTTTGCATTTGGTTTTGAAATGTTATGTTTCTTTTGTGATTCAGTATACTTCAAAGTCCCATTTCACCCAACTGTTACGTTTTGCACTTACCACCTGCTCATTATCACCTGGTAGAAGTTGATAAACTCTGGCATGGCGGAGTAGTTATTATGCCCTTGATGTGGAAGACCTAGCCTAATATGAGCTGCCATTACTGCTTAGGAAGCTGTGACTTGGAATACCTGATTACTTCACCCCTTGGCCAACCAGGCTTCAACTGGTTCATACTGGTTCAAACTTTGTATTCAGTGTGTAAAATGTGGAAGACACTCATAAACTAGCATACTCCATCCAGCAACATTTGTGGAGCACTTTTCATGGAGTAGATATACTCATCCCCTCTTCACAAACCTGTCGAGCATTAATCACAATTGTAGCTTACGGCAAACCAATGTTCACCAATACTGCAGAAACAGAGTACTCCCAAACAATGAACTGAGTGGGTGGGCCCAATGTCAGACTATCTTGGTGGACCAGATGCCAGAGTGGGGGTAAGGTTACAGGGTTATATCATCGGGTGTGGCCTTGGCTAGGGTCAGGTCTGGAGATCTGGCTTTGGTCAGATTTCAGGTGGAACGCAACGGAGGCATTCTGATTTTGTGTGGAATTTTTTGGGGTTGCAGTTGGCCATGATGAAGTCATCATGGAGGTTGTATCGTCAGATTCTGTCTTTAGTTGGTCCTGGATATTATTGTCAACACATGGAGGTTTATGTGGGCGGTGGGTCAGAGGTTTTCTTTCCCATCCACCCACATCATTCTTGACCCCACCCACAAAGTTGTCCATCTAACCAAGGTCTGTACAGTGTGAATGTTGATAAAAGTTTCCATTTCAGTACTATAATTCAAAACATTTCAGACTCCTTTTTATTGGTTATTTTTATTGGTTTTATTCAGAGTTAAGCTTACTTTTTAAAGGATATTTTTTATTGTATAATACTTAGCATTAATTATCCCCCGCAACTCGTTTTGGGGGGGTATTAAAATGGACTCCGTCCATCCATCCGTCCGTCCTTCTGTGCACATTTGTCTTTTCCGGAGCAGAACTCTAAAACCGTTCACTATTTCTTCACCAAACTTGGTACATAGATCTGGTGGTGTACTGGCTCCTTTTTGGTAGTTTTGGAATTCTGAATACAATATTTTGGGCATTTCCATGGCAACAAGTTTGACATAGACTGAAATTGGTGATAGTGCTCCCTTCTGGAGCAGAACTTTAAAAACCTTTCAATACTCTCCTTCCACTTTTCTATATACACACCTAAATATCTGACATAATCATAACTCATAGACATAATCACGAAGAGTATTTTGCCATTGCGGGGGATATTGATGACTTTGTTTTCTTGTTATATTTGTAATCGGGCCCTAAAATTAAGATCTGCATGCTCTCACTCAGTAACAATTGTAATCTAAGTCACAAACCTGAGATCCTGGATCCCACTTGTTCCCTGTGGAATACATTCTCTCATGGGTCAAAGAATTGCATCCTGGTGACTTTTAGCCCACATCTAATTGACCTGCCATGATATGAGTTAAAACATGTTCAATGAAGCATTTAACACACACACTAACACACTCACTCGCTAAAGTGTTGGCTCGTCAAGCCGAAGGCCCAGGTTCGATTCCCCACGTGGGTACAATGTGTGAAACCCTTTCTTGTGTCCCCTGCCGTGATATTGCTGGAATATTGTTAATTGTGGCATCAAACCACTCACTCACCCACTCCTGAAGACTCTGGTTTCTGGCACCTTCACACATAACCACAAGAGTGACCTGAGCATGTCAGCCTTGACCTATGTCAACATCTTGGTCCAGCATTAACAATAGCCGAGAGGGAATGGTACTAGGTGTCTTCATGTCACACATGGAACCAATTGGTCCTCAAACCAGAAACAGACCAATTATATTGTGTTGGCAAGAGAAGGTAGAATTTGTATGGTATTTATGGGGTAACAATTGTCTTGTGCTGAACACACATGCCCACAATCATCATCAACAGTTGTGCCCTAAAAGCGCTTTCTGCAAGTTGGCCAAAAGTTAGCAAAATTATCTTAGTGCTTGTGACTCTTGTGATAGACTTGCAAGTATTTTGAATCTTATAGTTTTGCAATAGCTGCAGCCTGAGATTGCTGAAGTTTGTCCTGGGTTCAACAAAATAGTCTTAACACTATGACTTTTGTATGTACATGAGAAAGTTTGGATCATGTGGAACAGGGCTCTGGACATTCAGTGAGGGAATATGTAACAGAAGGAGTGAGGCACCCATACCAATGAATGTGGTTTGCAGAAGTATTTCGAATACAGAGGCTGATGAATAGTGTCTAATTGTTCCATCAGTGGTTCAGCTCAACAGTACCATGTAGTAAGTAGTAGAAGATACAATGTCAGCCCAGAAAGTGGTTCAGCCCTGAGAAGTCATACAAAATGGTGTTACAAGGTTGTATTGTTGGTTTACCTGCCTGTCTTTTGGGGGGAGAATTCGGGAAAAGTTGGCTTGGAGTCGGTAAATTGTGTCTGAATGTGGTATCCACTAGGGCTGTGCAATATAACCGGTTTACCGGTATTTACCGGTTCAGACATGAAAACGATACGTATTGCGATACGCTGATTGAAAACCGGTATTTTGACTTGCATTCAGAAAACTTTGTAACACTCGGAAAGCTTCGGATATTTCCTTTTTTCATTTGTGCCAATATCATTCACATTTTTATTCTTAATCATGAATAAAAGTTGTTATCAAGCATAGTGGTTTTGCTATGTATTTGCTCTATAAATCAAGCATTACCTCGATTATAAGTAGTTTTTTGTGCAAAAATACTTCACGCAATATATTACAATACATATCGCAATACATGTTTTCGCATCGCAATATGAAAATTCAATGCAATACCCACCCCTAGTATCCACTATAATTGCAACATGGCCTTTCAGTGAGATAGCACGTCTGCCATTAGGAATGCAGACGTTAAACCCATTTCACATCACCTCATCATGCTGAAGCCTAAATTTCTGATATTTGAACAAGCACACACACACACACACACTCAGCCATAAAACACTGATGCTCATGCACATATACATACACAATGGAGCTGTAATGATATTGAATGTGATATTAAGCTAAGCTTCATTTCACCTCACCTGACCTCACCTTTGATGTTCTGTTTTAGGTGACTGCTATGTTGGTTCTGGTCAGTGGTACAATGGAACGGTCAACACAACAGTATCCGGCGCCACTTGTCAGCACTGGTCCACGAACTCGCCCCAGAAGCACCAGCGTCCTCCTGAAGTTTTTGTGTCATTGGAGAACTCAGAGAACTACTGTCGGAACCCAGGTTCTGAAGAGGATCGACCATGGTGCTACACAACGAACAAGTACAGGAGATGGGAGTTCTGTGACATACCAAAGTGTAACAGGCATGGTAGGTTGAGGCAGCTTTACTTGGTTAGTCTCAGTTATCTGTCAGAGCTCACTTTCCGATCTTTGAGGTAGACAGTAGCCATTTTCATATGATCAACAAATGGAACACAACATAGTGTGTTAGGGTACATTGCTAAATTAATTTTCTTGAAAGTTTTGAATTTGCAGCTGAAATGTTGGGTGTGAGGTCTTTAAGCTGCCACGTCTGCCAACTGTCCATTTCATACCACATTTATCTGCAGAACAGAAGATAAATGTCCACAATCAAAACCAACTCACAGTTTGCTGTGCAAAGTTGTGGATTCAAATCCCAGTTTCCTCCGATTATTGTCTAGGTTTGTCAGCACCATTGAAGTGTTGATAGGTGACTTCAGACGTTCCCCCCACGTTAACCTGACACACTGTGATATAACCGGAATACTGATCATTGTGGCATTAAACCCAAATCACTCACTCACAGGCAAGAATTGTTTGGAGTCTTCATTTGGTCAGCACTTGAATTGTCAAATGTTGTAACAGCCAGTGAAAATTCAAGAATTATTTTCTGTGTGATACAAACATGAACGCTCCTATGGTACTGATTACTTGGTTTTCTGAATGACTAAATGTCAATATTATTGACCATCAGATTTCTTTTTGGATAAGAAAGTGATTGGGTTGGCCTATATTCCAGCAATACCGCCCTTGACTTGATGTGACAATGTAAATTTGACTTACAATTATGTAACATGCAAGTTTTCAGAAGGAGGTTCTGAACTACACATACACTTTACAAACACCTTTAAGTCGTTTTATTCACGTTTGTCTTGGCCACAGGCCCACAGTACAAAACATTTCAATATTGTGATAACAAATGAAGTGATTCATACAATTTCATAGCAACAGAAGTAAGTTGACGATTTGAAGACATAAGTCTAACAAATGTTTCAAATGAGGGGTTACTATAGTATTTATACTCAATATATTGCTTTCTTAAGTCGGTGAAGGCACAGCAGACAAGGATAAAATGGTACTCGTTTTCGACAAGCTGGATATTATATCGAAGGCAGTATCTGCATAAACGATTCTAGATGTCTATGCCCAATCGTCTCCCCATTTCGATCGTTAGCTATTGGCAGCCACATCTGAATCTGGTTAACGCTTGCATCAATGGAGGGGAACTGATACAAACACCTTTATGTCAGAATAGAAAGGACCTGCATGAATACTTTGTTATCCAAAGTTCAGCCCAGCTACAAAATGAGGACTAAAGACCCAGCTTTCACTTTGAGACAAGTTCAACACATCAGAGTTTGACACAATGGTGTATCGCTTTAGTTATCTGTAGTAGTGGACCTTCATGGTTCATAACAGATATTTCACAACTATATCAGAATGATTTTGAATGCATGTTTGTTTACTTCAGATAACCAAACCTTACCTCAAGTAGAGGAGGAACCCAAGTTCACCTTCCTGGCCATCTTCATCATCACCATCGTCTCCTCTGTGGGCATCCTGGTCCTGGCACTCATTGTGGGCCTCTGCTTCAACATGTTGATCCAGAATCATCACATCAAGTACAACGCCACACCCCAGGAGGATGTTGACATCGACATTGAGAAACTCCCACCCAACATGTCCTACCACTTGATGAAGGAGAAGAACCGACTGAACCCCAAACTAGAAAGTCTCGAATACCCACGCAATGACATTATATATATCCGTGATATAGGACAGGGAGCCTTTGGTCGTGTGTTCAAGGCTAAGGTGCCCAATTTGTTAGAAAAAGAAGACTGCACGTTGGTTGGTGTCAAAATGCTTAAGGAAGATGCATCGGAGGACCTTCAGGCTGATTTTGAACGCGAAGCATCCTTGATGGCGGAGTTTAGCCATCCCAACATTGTGAAACTTTTGGGTGTGTGCGCGATCGGCAAGCCGATGTGTTTGTTGTTTGAGTACATGAGCAAAGGCGATCTGAATGAGTTTTTAAGACTGTGCAGTCCCGAGCACTTCATAACTCAGTCTCGCACTCTGACAGACTGCCAGGAAATGGCCAATCTGGATACAGCGGACCAGATGTACATCTCCACCCAGATAGCGGCTGGGATGGTGTATTTAGCTCAGAAAGGGTACGTTCATCGGGATCTTGCCACTAGAAATTGTCTCGTGAGTGATAATTTGATTGTGAAAATTTCAGATTTCGGGTTGGCGAGGAGTGTTCATAGTGTTGACTATTACAAGGGCAGCGACAATGACGCTATTCCTATCCGATGGATGCCCTTGGAGGCTATTCTTTATAACAAATTCACTGTGGAGTCGGATGTGTGGTCATTCGGTGTTGTACTCTGGGAGATTTTTTCATTTGCGTTACAGCCATATTATGGCATGACCCATGAAGAAGTGGTGAAATACGTTAAGGATGGGAAAATCCTTGCTCAGCCCGAAAGTACTCCTGTGGCTATTTATGAGTTAATGAAAAATTGTTGGAATAAAAAGCCATCAAGTCGCCCCTCATTCCAATCGCTTCACAAATCTGTATGTTCCTTTTATGAAGAGTGCTCAAAAAAGAAAAACTTGAACGTGTCAGTATGAGATTTGCGATGGAGCGTTTCCATCACAGACTTTATCTCAATCACGATGGATGTGATTTGGACTCGAGGGACACACCATCATGATTCCCTCCTGAGAAGTAAGACTCACTCTGACCTCTGACCAATCTCATGAAGACATATCATTTTTCCAGAGCTTCATTGAATCATATATATAATTTTCATATTTCCCAGACGACGTTACCATGTGATTTATAAGGAGTGTTTGTTCTAAGGATCCTGTGACAAGTGGGACAAGAAATAAACACAAAATTCAAATATTCATATATGGCACCTAAACCAACGACAACTTTGACAGCTTGCAATAAATAGACATATTGCAGCTTAATGGCATTTTTAGTATCAGTAGAATGGCTGAACGTTAAAATTACAACAAAATCTCACTATTATGAAGGCTGTATATCTTTACATATATTTATCTCTAGGTTCCATTTATGGCATTCCTAGTTTGACTAAAAATGGCTGTCTGATTTCATACTTTGCCAAAGCATAATAATGGTCCCAAGAAATGGACTTGGGTACCAAAAGGCTTTGTTAATAATTGCTTTTGTTTCAGTTTATGATACAGAAGGTAGCTGATTTTGTTTAGAGTGATGAAATATGAAAAAAGTTAAATGCAAAGCTAATTTAGACTGCCATTTGATGTTATTAAAGTTTGGAAGTAACTGAAAGGAGTGCTAAAGCATCAACAACAGCTGAGCAGAATGAAGACTCACGAGCACGTGATTGGTGGATTTGAATCCCATGTGACCATTCAGGAAGAACTGGTGAAATTTGATTGGCTGCATCATCTCCTCTTACCAAGGAAAGGAAGCCTGCAGCAAATCTTATGATGGTTGCGGAGTATTTTAACTGACTAATGAGATATGTGCAGGCTTGTGATTTGAACTGACCAATGAGGAAGCTATATTTGCCAGGGTGATATGCGAGACAGTGACTCTCTACTAATGCATTGTGATTTTGTACAGATTGTTATTAATGTTGTGCCTATCCGTGTGGAACCTCCTTGGAGTCCATTTTGTGTTAGTTCAAGGTCACCAACTAATAATACCAAATATGGCAGTTTCTGTCAGTTGATGGAAATGGGAAGAGTAAGAAATCAGCTGTACTTTTTTGACACAGAAAAATGTTTGATAATAATTGGTATTTGTTGGCCACATTTTAACTGTATAGATAGGGTTGCACCACAGTAGGATATATGGCTCCAATCTTCCTTGGTTTTCATGTATAAACTGGTGGTTCTCAACATCTCATGTTTACACTTTCAATTCCATGCTAAATAGAACCAAAATCCAAATGCTGTCTACAAAAATATTCTTTATTTGGGTTGGATCGCAGATTTAATCAGGGCATATCCTGCTGTTGAAATAAAACAATAAGTCAAAACTCAACTCTCCGTTAAATGATATTTATGTATTTACTTGATAAGCCATAATTCGAACAATGGAGAAAAATAGTCAGATCTGTGATCCAAATAATAAGAAAAATTTCAAAAGTAATATGAAAGAGGCTGTATTTCTCATGGTAAGATTACTGGGATGAGTGTTTCGTCCCACGTTTACTTAGCGTTAATTAGGCCCCTGTCAACGTTGAGACTGCCAGTTTTGTGGTAATGGATATCTGCTTTGACTAGGTCAGAACAAACGATAGCCGACACCCTCGACACCTTCACAGTTGTGTCACAGTTGCAGAGAGAAGTATAGATGTAGGTTGGTCATCAGTCTCTTCAATACATTAACAGCTCTTAACAATTATGGAAACCATTAAGGTCAAGGTCAAAGATAGCCAATGAAGACTTAACGTTGCCTGTTTAGGTGCTTGTGTAAATAGGAAAAAATGGTGCTCAACCCTGTCTGATTGAGATCTATGAATCCTTCTGAGATGTGCTGAACATACAACTCAGAGTTACAATTTAATGCAAAAAGAATTGATTCATAAGCAGAAAATGGCACTTGAATAGATGCCATTTCTGTCACCATGGTAACAAATCTTCCTAATTTCCAGCAGTAATGATTGCTCCTTAGATTTTTGTGTCCACTTTGTTTCCACGACGATATGTGCATTTGCAACAGCTGTACAATAGCCGCAGTTAGTATTGCCCTTGTTATTTATTATTTGTGTATGAACTTAGTGCTGACTTTGATGACAAATTTGTGTTCAGTTCATGCGTCCTAAAATACATTTGAAGAGATGGACCTCTAGATGCCAGCCTTATTGTGAGAGCTGTAGACTTGTGTTAGTTTTATTGTCACATATGTTGTGTTCACTTAAACATACCTGTAACGTTTGGTATTACTCAATTAAACCAATATACACTTAACGGCTGTCTTGTTGTGCTTGCCGCTCACTTGATTCCTTGTATCTGACAAGTAGTGGGACAGTGACCTCACACACACTCGGGGTGGTGGGGTCGCTTAGTGGTTAAAACGTTCGCTCGTTACAGCAAAGACCCGATGTAACTGGCCAGGGGGAAAGTTTGGCCTAACTCTTGGGGAAACTTTGGCCTAGGACAAACTTTCCTTGGGGAAACTTTAGCCTAGACCAAACTTTGGGTGTTGGGGTGTCGACAGCAAAGTGTTTTACTCATATATATGGTGTCTCTCTCTGTGAGGGTAAGTTGGGTAGCCTAGGAGTAAAGCGTTCGCTCGTCACACCCAAATCTGACTCCCCACATGGGTACAATGTGTGAAGCCCATTCTAGTGTCCCTTACCATGATATTGCTGGAATATTGCTAAAAGTGGTGTACCTACTCAACCGCTGTTGTTGTTGCTTGGTTATTGATTTGAAACAGTTTAAAGCCAAACTCACACATGCCTGTGCTGTTAGGAGTGGATATGAGAATGTGAGGTGAGGTGAAATTGGGTTTAATGAGTGGATATGAGAATGTGAGGTGAGGTGAAACTTAAGGGTTGTATAGTGCTAACTTCGCTGAGACACCCCACTCAGACAAATTATTGACGCAGTCATATGACGATAATGCGCCAGGCATAGTACCATATTGTAACGCCATTTGATATGCGGCTGGGGCTTGACCTTCCACTAGCCCGGACTCTCTAACCACTACACCACGGAGGCGGTCGAGGATCAGAATATCCATCATGCATGTCTGCATGATTACACTATCATGAAATTCTTTTCATCCTAAATAGGAGTAAAATTGAAAGTGATGAAGATCTTGCATATAGTAGCACATTGTGTGAGTTGTCTGTCATGGGAGCTGAAGAAGGTCACTTCAGCTGATACTGATACAGGCTCAAATTTGTCTCCATATCAATTTTTTATTTAAATATTATAAGATTATTAATTTGTTTTATTCAATATTTCAAAAGTAGAAATGCTAACCTTCTCAACCTATTCAGCTTATTCTTGAGTCCCATGATGTGCTATCGCAGGAATATTGCTAATAGTCATAAAACAAGATCCACTCGCTCATACAGATTTTAATCTCTCAATGTAGCAGGAAAATAGGATTGTGGGTTCGAATCCCAGTTTTCCTTGACTATGTTTCTAGGTTTGCAAGCACCAAACCTGTGCTTATGTGGTTCACCGATGTGGCAGCTGTCTGAGATCTGTATCACTTCAATCTTTCCCCCAATAAACCTCTGTGGTGTAGTGGTTAGAGCATCCCCCCCCGAAGAGCGGAAGGTCGCAGGTCATATCAAATGACGTTAAAATATGGTACTTGTTGGTCCCTGCCTGGCGCTTGGCATTAATGGGTACAACAAGGACTGGTCAGCTCGGAGTCAGTATAATGTGTCTGAGTGGGGTATTCATGCTTCACTGCGGCCCGGTATCTCAATGGGCTAGCACTAGACTAACAACTAGTCTCTGAAATTAACATATTTTACTGAAAAAAGTTCATAGTAAAAAAATATAAAATATAATGAAAAGGAGCCACGAGATTTTCTTCATTTCCTGAAGCTGAGGCAATCTAGACTTGCCACATTTTCTAGACTTGTGTGCGCTTTCTTGGATATATTTGCTTCAGGGTCTTGGCTAGCACTAAAAACCAGCTAAAGTCTGGGCTAGTCAGCCGCACATACACATACACACGCATGCATGTCGTCATATGAGCGAAATATTCTTAAGCACGATGTTAAACCCAATTTCACCTCACCTCACCTTTCCCACAATACTGTTCAAAGTGGCATAAAACCAACGAACTCATTCACAGGTTCAGATGGATGAAGGGTTGGCCAGCACATGTATTACAGTCTTACCACACAGATTTGTAGCCAACTAATTCTGGACCAGACAAACCGGAGATGTACAGAGAAGTCATTATTCATCAGAAGACAAACAATATGATCAAGAATGCCAATCCTGGGTAACACAATCAGTCCAGTCACACTGTTCCATAACCCATATAGTAGTGACTTAACCAAGCATGACCCATGAAGATCCAGGTTAGAACCGGTCTTCAGCAACCCATGCTTGTCGTCAAAGGCGACTAATGGGATCGGGTGGTCAGGTTTGCCGAATTGGTTGACACCTGTCATTGTATCCCGATTGCGTAGATTGACGGGGCTGTCAATCACTGGATTGTCTGGTCCAGACTCGATTATTTAAAGAATGCGCTATATAGCTGGAGTACTGCTAACAATGGCATTAAACAAAACCAAACATAGGGTACTGGCAACAATATTGTGGCCTTTAAACCCTACCAGGGATTGAGGAGCTCATTCACCAATCATACAGATGATCTTGAGTCATCATCCTGAGATGCAGAACCATCGCTGCCTAGACGAGGTGGACTTGACATCAAACAAAATAAGTGGATCCAATTCTATATCAAGAGGAGTATGTGGGATATCGGTGTCTCTGATTACAGGGTTCATAAAGTCTATGTGGTATCAGAGAACCACGGAAATGAGCAGATAGAACTCAATGTAATGGGCCAAGATTGACTGAACTCATTAATCTAAATTTAAATGTTTGTGCAGTAAAATGTTCAAAGGGATTTGAAGCAAGCTCCTTGACTGACACCTCATGCTGTTCACGTGATGGAACCGCAGTGTCTCGGAGTTATTTATCTCAGTACAGACATGTTTTGGAATACCAGATGAGGAAGAAATGGTGTTATATGATTTATCTTTCGATTATTTCCTGACATCGGCTGTCCATGGGAAGACAACATATCATTGCGTGTTACAGTCCAGCTGGTAGCGACCCTGAGGGAATTCTGGGTAGTCTCTGTAACCTGTAGTTTTAGTTTGTTGTTTAACGCCGCACTCAGCAATATTCCTGCTATGTGGCGGCAGTCTGTAAATAAAAGTCACTAGACAATCCAGTGGTCAACATCATGAGCATCGATCACCGCAATTGGGAACAGATAACATGTGTCAACCAAGTCCATGAACCTGGGGGCGGTGGGGTAGCCTAGTGGTTAAAGCGTTGGCTCGTCACGCCGAAGACCCGGGTTCAAATCCCCACATGGGTACAATGTGTGAAACCCATTTCTGGTGTCCCCCGCCGTGATGTTGCTGGAATATTGCTAAAAGCGGCGTAAAACCAAACTCAGTCAGTCAGTCAGTCCATAAGCCTGACCACTCAATCCCATTGGTTGCTTCTTATAATAAGGGTTGCTGAAGATTACCCAGATATCCACTAGTTGCTTTTTTTAGTAGGAGCTGGCTATGAAATACACAAATGCACCATTTGAGTGAGTTTAGTTTTATGTCACTTAAAGCAATAATGCAGCACAATCACAGTGGGGGACACCAGAAATGGGCCTCACACATTGTACTCATTTGGAGAATCAAACCCAGTTCTTTGGAGTGACAGGCTAACGCTTTAACCACTAGGCTACCCCGCCATCCCTAAATGCATCATTGACCCAGCACAGCATAATATTGGAAGCTGGTCGCATCGAAGTTTTAATTATTGATTTCAAGCAAGTCGTAAGGGATAATACGCGGTAAGTGTTTTATTGCATCAATAAGAATCTAAAGTGAAAGCATATGCCCCAATATATATATTATAGGCCAAAATATTGTCAAAAATGTGTGAAATTCTGCCTTTAACATCAATCAAACTTGAAATAAGCCAAAAACCCAGCCAGCCAGACTTAAAAATGTTACCAGCCCAAAATGGATTTAACCAGACCAGACACCAAGATATGTATGGAACATCTAAAAGTTTTACCAGACCATAGGGCTGGCTAGCTGTAAATCTAGACCATCAGTCAGAAATCTAGGCCGTCTTGAGCAGTCGGACAGGCCTTATTTCATACACTGTCAATGGCTAGTCTGTTTCACAATTGGTTGGCCATTTTGTATACACTGATACCCTGTGGATACTGACTCAAACTGGTTTATTGTACAATCAGTTACTGAGTACAATTATGTCAGTATTTCATATAGGTGGTCCTGTGCACAGAGCTCAGGTCACAAATCAGTTGAAGTTAAGCAACGTCCAGCTCGGACAATCCTTGGATGGGTGACCGTGTTTGGCAGCCTGACTCCTGAGAGTTTCTAGGACTTTAGTCCTGCCCTACAACGAAGCACATGCGATACATGTGGCCTCACCTTAGGCAAGTGAGTTTGTTCAAATTGCCTCTGTTCACCCAGCAGAAAATGGGTACCCGGTGGGATAAAGTCATGTGACTTTAACCTTCTAGCGCCTAACAGGCAGCTTGGGTTATCCAGGGTAATAAGAATCAGATTCTGATTAAGCACCGCGAGCAATCACTTGGTGTTTGGAGACTGTGCGCTATAGAAGATGACTTATTATTATTTTTTTAACTGTGTTGATTTTATTAGTAAACAAGAATTATGGACATTCATTCTTTGGACAAATGGAAATGGAAAAGCTAGTCTTCCAATGACCTTCAAAAAATTGTTGTCTGGAATGAGAAATCCGAGTTCCCCAGATGGAACTCCACTCTAAACGTGGGTAATGGGTGGCCTTGTCATCTAGGAAGCTTCATTGACAGCATCCTGCATTTGCTTGAGGATTTTACAAAAAGTGTTAAACGTCTAAGACTTGCATCTATTTTGGCTTAAAAAGTCCTCCCTTAATTAGCTGACACACCAGGATGAAAATTTAAAACTGTTCAAAGCAGTGTTAAAACCCAACTCAAAAACTTTTCTCGAAATGTCTACAAGCCCAAACAGGGACTTCTACAAGAAGTGAGATGAGAGTGGCTTTATTGTACATATATTGGTGTGGGTATGCTTGTACCAGCACAGATAACTCCTGGTATACATACTATACTGCCTGAGAGCTGACCAATCCTTTTAGGCCTTTGATGCCAAATGCCAGGCAGGATAACAGGAAGTACCATCTTTTTGGTAAGACACAGCCTGGAGCTGGAACCA